TTTCCTCTTGTCCCCCCCCCCCATCTTTTGGCTTTGATAGCGTGTGTAAGCCTTCATTGGCTATTGACTTTCCTTCTTTGCCACGTGATTCGCTGTCGTGTCTCAGCTGTTTCTTGCTTTTTAAATTACCCCTAACATCCTGGTTCTTTCTGCAGTCTCTCTAGTGTGGTCGGTGAATGTAGGGCTAGACTATAGTGATTTTCTCTTTATAAGTTTCTAACCATTGGTCAGACTCCTTTGAACTGCTAGATAAATGCTTCAAGCAAAACAGGCCCTTGTCCATCTCTTGAACTTTTTTATTAGAAACATGTCTGGCTGACGGTCAGCATCCACCCACGTGACCACCATTGGTTTACCTCTCTCTCTGTGTCTTCATCTTCTTAAGTATCTTGACCCCTGCTTCCCTTGCACAGACGACCTGGGACACATCACCGTTCTCTAACGTTGAGTGCAGTAAAAACACCAGTGTTAACAACGGGTTCTGGGAAGCGAGGATGCTGCAGAAATCTGTCCAGAGCCAGTGTTTCATTTGGGGACTCAGAATGCCAGTAAATGTCACAGTAAACGGTGCCTCTGTCTGCCCCTTCCAGTGTCCAGCGTGGACTGCAGCACTGTGGAGTGCCCCACCGTTCAGCAGGCCGTGTGCCCCCTGGATAGCTACGAAACTCAAGTCAGACTCACAGCGGACAGTTGCTGCTCTCTGCCAACAAGGTCGGTCTGTCCTCCATGTATGAGCTTCCTCCTCTGTCTCGTGTGTTAGCATCCTGGGAGGCACAGTTTCAAGCATGCAGTTCATTTTCCTAACAATTAGGGAAGCCCAGTCTTCTCCCATTTCTGTGGAGAGATCACTGTCATTACAACTTGGTATTTACACGTATGTTGCCTCGGATCCAAGCCAGGTGTTATCAGGTGAAGTCACTAATCCTTACAGAGTCTTCATATCGGGGTGCTGTGTACCTTTGCAGGCCGGGAACTATCCAGGCCTAAATGCCCCTTAGGATATAGCCAGGGAGGCAGCGAGGTGTCCATCCATAGTGGGCATGTCATTTGAGACTCTGCAGTGCGTCTTACAGGAGCTTAACCGCTGTGTCCACTAGGATGAACCCCTGCATACATCATGGAATTGCTGCTAAGGGGTTCTTCACATTTGCATTCACACATCTACCCAGACCTATTCCTTGCAGGGGCAGAGAGGAGCCTAAGTTTCTGTCATGCTTTCCAGAGTAGCAAACACATCTCTCTTTGGCCGGATGGGGAAGAAAGTTGCTGGCATTCTAGTTGTAGCAGCAGAACATCCACTCAGCCCACAGGACCAGGCTCACCCCTGTACATGAGGCACGGCAGGTCCCGTCCTTGAGAGGCTTCCTAGCATCACCGTAGAGCTGGCCCTGGTGCTTGGCTTTTGGGAGGACCCTGCTTGGAAACTTGGGGTTTACATCCCACTTCTCCTCCGATGCTCTCTCCCCCTCTTCCTTGCCATGACCTCCCCTCCATCTTCTCCAGGCCAATAAGATGTCACTTTGACTGAGTCATCTCATTTCTTTTAACTTTTGCTCTACATTTACTATCCAGAGTTAAAACAGTGCTTTATGTCACTCTGTCTCCCCCAGTCCCAGTGCCAGGCACGTTGCATCTGTGTTTGTTGCACGAGTAGTTTTGATTACACAGATGGGAGTGTCTCTGGTCCTTAGTGAAGGTAAGTATCAGTTATTTGTCCATAATTGGAGTAGACTTCCAGAGAGCGTCCTGACAATTACTCCTTTCTTCTTTCTTGTCTTAAAGTATATAAGTTCTTTAACCTCTCCTAACCTTTGTCCTGTCAGAAACCCTGAAATTCTCTCCAACATGTTTGACATGACTTGCCCTATTTTTTACACTGTATCCTAAGGCAGATGCAAAGACTCCTGTGAAGACAGTGTAGTAACAGTGGCGCAGTACCTTCTTATGTGAGATATGAGAGTTTACGTGCAGGTGTTTGGAAAGCGGTGAATTATTGTGCAAACATAAGGTATCACTAATCAATAAAGGGAGAAAATGGAGCATCGCTAAAAGCAGATGTCCCCTTCAAGGTCTCTATGAAAAGGAAGGTGGCGCATAATATTAGAGAAGCTAATTAATCAGAACTAAGCCAGTTGTTAATGAGCAAGTCCTGTAGCGAGGAAAGGGGGCCGTTCTCAATTGGCTACTCTAAGTGTAATCTAGTACCATCTGCGTGTAGGAGGTGCGCCAGGGGCTCGAAGTGGGTAGAAGCTACAGGAAGACCCATTTAATCTCAGTCGAAGACAAAGAATTTTCTCACAGCTAATGATGTACTGTAATGAATTGGGCTGCTTCCTGAGATAGACGGAGCTCCCTGGATCTGGAGAGATTTCTTTCCGTCTGGATGGCCACCTGCCAGGAATGCTTAGAAGAAATGCTATGTTGGAAAGGAGGTTCAACTAGATGCCTTCCGTTTTCTCTCCAAGCTTCTGTGAGTCTTGTAAACATACACTGTAGGATGGTGGTTATTGTGTGGGCGTGATTTTGACTTTGCATTCAGAGCTCAGGAATGGTCAGTGAAGGGTGCCTCTAATGGAGAAATGGGAACCGTGGAGAAGGAAGTGATTCAGAATCCCTCTGTAAATTATTGGCAGGGAAGGGGTACGTTCTCACAGCTCTTTAGTTTCCTGTATTTTAGATAGTCAGTGACCCCTGCTCACCCCCGGCCCCTTCTCCACAGGCATCCTGTGTTCCCACCTGACACGGCCCCTCCCCGAGCGCGCTCGTGCTCGGTGCCTTTGCATTTGCAGTTGACCCCTCTACCCCCTCCCCCTTCCTCTTGCCCTCTGACAACTTCTAATCCTGCGTCAGGACTGCATTTCCTTCTCTGCAAAGAGTTTCTAGCCTTCGGCCCCCAAGGATGACTTAGGTGCTCCTCCTCTGCTCCCTTTTCATTCATTTCCCATGCATCTCTTTATTGTAGCACTTTTAATAATATACAGCATCATTGACATTTTTTTTGTCAGCTTTTTCCCCACTCTGATTCTCAAGGAAAGAGAATATTTTATAGCCTCTAGTACCTAGAGTAAGATTTCATGTACTATGCCAGCCTACATTTATTGATGAATGAACAAACACACAGACGAAAACAAATGCTCCCACTCTAGCCATAATGACTGATATGTTGAAGAAGAAAAAATTGTCTTCCTGCCGTTGTCTGACTTTAAAACCCTTGCAGTGTTTCCCCAACCCCCTTCTTTATGGCCTAGTTCGCAATACTTTATAAACCATCTATTCCAAACACCAAGCTCACCTTTCAAAGCACAGGATGCCTTTATCTCTCCCTTCCACCTTTTCTGATATTGTTCATCCCCCAGGACTCCAGTTAAATCCCACCTCATCCACAGAGGTCTTCATGCTTCAGCCAGCTCCATCCCAGTCCTTAGGAACTCCCCAAATAGCCCTTTCCATGTTGCCAGTTAATCATATACTTTTTGGCATTGTTCTTTGTGTTACATGCATCACCAACAAAAAGGTGTGTCTGGAGGTCAGGAATTGCATCTTCTTTCTTCTCTGTGTGTGCACTAAATACTGAGTAATTGGTCAGTACAGAAAATGTTCATACCATGGCTTAAGCTAGTTTAGCCTATCATGTAGGTCCCCACTCACTGAGGACGACAATAGCCGAGTCATACTTTGACAGAAATAGAAGCCTGAACAATTATGTGGAAACGGAAATTAAAAAAAGAGAGTTTTGTGTGTGAACCATGTGTGAACCATGGTCAAGGTTTGCTCTTAGAATCATGATGTTTAGGGGTCGCTGTAGAACATGTAAAACCCTGTTATAAGTATCTGACCTTTACCAGCATAATTAGAAAAGGGATTGTTAAGAACTTAGAGCCACCTTAGATCAAAACTGACTGTGTGGAGAATTCAGGGGGGAAAGGCCCTGCACAGTTAGGACAACGTCGGGCGAACTGCCTGACAGTTTGGCAGCTGAGAGTCACGGCAGGTGACAGCAGCCACCTTTTCTGTAAGGATTTATTGTGCCTTCCGCACAAAAGGAATCTGTGGCCTTCTCTCCCTCATCATAAAGATTAAACTTCTCCCTCCTTCATTCCCATCTGAGTGGAATTGCCATTCCCAGTGAGACTATTACACCCGTTCAGGCCTCTCCCGGCCCTATTTCGCGGTGAGTCCTCACTCCATTTGTGGATTTTCTTTGGAGTTGTCTGTTTTCGGTTCAGTCATTCACTCAGTTATTCATTCGTCAAGCATGAATTGAGCTCCTACAGGTGACAGACGCTGCCCTCTAGATGTCCTTTTCACGCAGGGGTGTATCTTTCCATTTCTGTTCATTTCTACCGCGGACTAGTACTGGCTCTCCCACCTCCCTCTGCCCTTTCTAAGGATGGGTTATACCTGCCTTCCTTGCCGCAGCTCTGCTCTTTCTTAACGGCCCGTCCTGCATGTTCCCTCTTTTGCTGTGTTTTATCCTGTTTCGACATCATTCTTATGAGTAATATGATTAACTTTTAACCGTTTCTAATTCTTCTTTCCCTCGGCTTGGTTTAGTTTTCCAGGCACCCTGCCAGTTCTTTCCACCTTTTCTCTCGGCTCTGGGCTGTGACGGGAGCTCTGTGGCAGCTCATCACACCTTTCAGGAGCTAGCGGAAGGGAATCAGGGCCTCACGCGGGGCCTGAGCACCGCACGATGACACAGGGGAGAAGTGGGACTGTCCCTGGGGCTCGTGACACTTCACGCGTCTTGGGAACACCTTCTGTGCTCTGTGCGTGTGTGCATGCAGACACTTCCATGCAGAAGGAAACTTACAGCCCAGATGGTTACGGGAGACGCTTTCATCCCAGTGACGTCTTTACAGAGAAGGAAAAACAAAAAAGTCTTTAAATAGCCTGTAGGTATCAGCACCAGTGGCAGCTTAACTGTGTAATGCGCCTTGCTTTTTACAGAGCATTCACTTCTCTTATTCTCATTTTATTGTCACCTGGCTCCTTGAGGAATTTATGGGCATGAACACAGGTTGAGAAGTACGTGATTTGTACGAAATCATGTGTGTTCTCTGGTCCAAGGGACAGAGCAGGTCCAAGCCTTGAACCCAGGTTCTTTGATTCAAAGGCCTGTGCTCTCCGCTGCAGCGTTTTTGATAAGACTGTTTTTGGTTTTTTTAAGTCAAGGAAATATATCAGTGACAATGAGTTTTGATCGCATCAACATATTTATTTATTTCAGCGTAGTACATATTACCACAACATACGTATGTTTCAGTTATTCACTGCTGTGTAACAACAAGCCACCCCCAAATGCACTAGCTTAAAACGCAATGATTTAGTATTTCTCAGGACTGTGTGTGAAGTGGGTGGTTCTTCTATAGTCAGCTGGCAGGTCCTCTGGGGCTGGGTGGTTTAAGGTGACATCACTCACATGTCTGAGAACTCAACTGGGATGGCTGGAAGGGCGTCATTCTGGGTTACCTGATGGCAGACTTGAGAGAGGAAGTAGCAAAGCCTTAAGAGACCAGGACTTGGAAGTCATACACCACCACTTCCGCCACATTCTTTTGGTCAAAGCAAGTCACTGATTCAAAGAGTAGGACAATAGATTCCACTTCTTGGTGGGCGAAACTGCAAAGAATTTGCGGCCATTTTTTTTTTTTAAATATATCTTTATTGATTTCAGAGAGAGGGAGAGGGAGACAGAGAGAAACATCAGT